CTATAACAAATAACCAAGCCACGGATGGCGTAGTGGTTTAAGCGGTTGCCATGCCGCTTCCTACTACGCTGAGTGTTGTGGGTTCGATCCCCAACTTGGGACGACACTTTCTGTGATTCACAAATTATTTTTCTGAGTCTGTGTGTTCTTTGTGTCCGTTTCATGAATGTTTGTAAAGTCCGCCGCAACACCGGATAAAATGCTAATGCGGGATATGTCTTTAAAAAAAATGTTTTTTTTTTCCGACATGCAGTTATAAAGGAGGGAGCATACTGATATTAATTTTGCTTGCAAAATAAAACTATTTTTGTACTTCTTTCTCATGTACTTATGTACTCATGGACTGACTATAAAGGTAAATTATGAAATACCGAATAAATTTTTTTCAACACCGAAATCCCGAAAACACGTATTTATTAATGTCTTCATTTGAGTTCATTCACACAATCATGTTACCTATTCCGAGTTGCCATTATAATCGACGAGTGTTGCTATAACTCTGAAAAAAAGCAAATAGTAATTATTTACTATGGACTTATTTAATAATATATAATATTCTCACACATTTCACACACCGCTGTCTGCTCCCAAACTAGGCAGAGCTTGTACTATGGTAACCAGACTGCTGATAACGTACTTATACGATATTATAGATAAAGTACACCCAGACACAGAACAAATGACTGTGCTATCACACAGTTATTTGTCCTGGGTGGAAATCGAACCCACGACCTCTGGCGTAGCAGTCAGGGTCACTAACCACTAGACCAACAGGCCCGTACTACATATACATACATACATTTTAACTCCCAAACACTTTTGACTATCTCACTAGAGATCAAATAATATTCGTACTCTACTATTAATAACACAGTACCTATAGTAATTTCCGTTACATAATACTGTTTTCTGTTACAGAGTGGAGAATAAATATATTATTCGAAAAATCTGAATCCGAATTCCCCAACAAGTAGCCGAATAACGAATGAAGTGCTATTGTTTTTACATACACGAAAAGGGATGGGCCGGACACACGGCACATGGAAGAACTTGGCACTCAAATGAATCAAATTCTTCCTCATGTACAAAAATATACAGTTTACTGAAGATTTCTGTCACTACTTACTAAAAGACGTAGACAAATCACAGATAAAAACATTGCTGACTATTAAAGATAATGAAGATAGAAGCCCAAGGCAAACCAAAATAAATATAGGAAGTTATGGCCTTGAAAAGGGACCAACACTGGATAGTACAAAAATATACTTCCTTGTAGTTACGTGAATCGAGAATTTAAAAAGCATTTGCTCATAAATCATTGCTTATTAAATGACAGGCTGGAATAAATCTAAATAATTCGGAAAATCCCATGAGGTTGGGACTATTCAGAATACATGTCTTCAGTAATCTGTGTATACAGCATAATATTATAAATTCGAATGTGAGAAACTGAACTCATTTCCCGGTATCTATTTAAGAAACTTTTTTTAAATTTACAATCGTGGTTTGATTTTTAATGACAATAATACCATGACACATCTTACATACGACCTGCTGATTCCAAACAAAGTACAGACTGTGCAATGTTAACGAGACCTGACAAACATACTCATATATTTTGAAATTTATGTATATTCATTTATTTATCTCAGCCGAAAGACCACTGCTGGACATAGGCCTCCCCCAAGGCTCTCCACAACAACCAGTCCTCTGCTGCCCGCATCCAACGGCTTCCCTCAACCTTAACCAGGTCGTCGGACCACCTTGTAGGGGAGCCCACGCTCCATCAGCCGATACGTGGAAATTTATGTACATTATTACCCAGACAAAACAAATGATAGTGCATGTATACAATTATTTATCCAGTGTGTGAATCAGACCCACGATCTCAGGCTCAGCAAACAGAATTTCAAACCACTTCACAAACAGGCCAATAAAAAAGAACCAAATTTAAAACCAATCTTGAACGTATTACCTCAAAGCCCTGTCAAGACTCGGTATAATGATAGTATTCTGTTAGGACTTCCACTCGACTGAAACAACGGCATCGATTTAAGCCCCTATTATCTACAGAGGGATTCCGATTCTGTTATCCCATGAATTATTATTATCAAATATTTTCTCTAGAATACTTATTAGTTGCTATTATTGTTCCTTTTTCTAAAATACGTAATGTTACCTAAAACCACAAAAAAAGCTGTTGAAATTTATCGACTCAACAATGGACAACCATTTTTATTATAAACTAAAAATCGAACAAAACATTTATTTTATCAAATTTATAAAGAAAAATTGATAACTTATTTGGGAAAAAAATAAGATAAAATCCCGCCAATAGAAGTTAGACATACCTATCTATGTATCTACGTTTTGTTTAAGCGAGCTAACAAGCTTAACTTTTTTTAAATTAGTATTGAATTTATGAACAAGATATACACGATATTTTAAAGCTGATTCCGTAGAACCGAAAGTCGCTATTTTAGACGTGATCTGTTACACATAGACACTGTTATACATATGTTCCGGGACATGGCATAAATATAATCTGATGTCGTAAAAACATGCCTTTAGCTTTAGACCCTTTTAATACCAAAAGTGGGTGAATTAAACACTGACCGTATCCAAAACTACAAATTAAATGTAATCAAAAAACATCCATCTCCTTTTATGGACGTCGTAAAAGTGCAAAATCCGTGGCAGCCAAACTAGAAGTCATAAAATCTTGGTCGCAGTCCGCTGATACGGGATTAGGATATTACCCTGGAACCTGGTTAACTTGGAATTATTGTGTGTAACTTAATCAAAACTACTTTAAGTCAAGTGATTTATTTATAACTTGTTTATGACTTTTAGATGTCTGCACGAGTTCTAAATCAGAATGTTTATCTATCTTATGTATAATAAAGAATATACAAGTTTTTATTTAGAAATGTAATGTGCCGGATTGCCGTCAATAGACTTGTCACTTATTAACTAAATAAGACCATAATTATAGTCAACCAAATATGAACTATCAATTCGCTTCTGTCTACCTCTATGGGAATAAAATAGTTTGTGCCCGTGTGAAATTCTATCGATCCCTCGAAGACAGTAATTTTTACTGGCTGTAAGTTATTCGATGGTTTTTTCTGTACCCTTGGCAATCTGTATGCAAAACGCATGATGATCAAAATGCACAACGCATAAAATAAGAACAAACACATACCTATTGATTTTTATACATTTTATAACTCACCTTAAATCATTTTTAATCGAAAGCAATTTGGTGGCAATTTAAATTCACATTCATATTTTTCCCACATTGAATTAAACAACGAAACTGGAACTTGATCTATAAAATCTATTCTCAATAATACATTATTTACTATCTGAGTTATCTACGGAAGTAAGCCATTAGAAATATGTTTAATCTAAGTAAGCATTAATAAATTATTAATTAGTCTGCCAACCTTCTCAATAATAAAATATTGATTTATATTTAGCCATAACTTTGTTTACAATTTGTCTTCCTTTAGTCTACTCTTGTCTTTTAAAAGGTTTAAAGAAGATATTTTAATTTTCAACTGTTATATTATACCAAAGTTGCGTGTGGTGACGGAATAAGAATACGGATTGTTACCACCCCCAATCATAACGCGGGTGTCGTAAGAGCCGACTAAGGGAGCAAACTACGCAGGGCAACAATACTGCAAAGAGAAGGAAAACTTGACACAAACCCTATACCAACCCGTCTGGCCAGCGTGGTATAGTAGGCCAAAACCTCCTTTCTAAGGAGAGGCCTATGTCCAGCAGTGGACTGTTAAAGGCTGTTGATAATGATGATTATCACATTTCGGTCCCTGAATTAAAAGTTGTTGACGCTAAGATTTTTTTTATAATTTAATTACGCTCTGACACAATTTGTGTTTATCGAGAACAGCAAATTTTGGGCCTGACAGGGTCCCCATAACATCGAGCCAACTGCATCGTCGATTAACTTGAAGTTAACCGTAATTAAAGTGATGAGTAGTCAAACTATACATATTTACAAATTAAGAAAACAGTAATGAAAAGTTTTTCACTGTATAACTACAACAATTTAATAAATTAAAATGTTTACTAGAAAATTGTATTGTAAAATGAAACAAAAAAATACCGTACAAATATCTTTGATATAAAACTCGGGCCGAGGAGGCAGCCTTTAGAACAACAGTAAAAAGGTTTCGCAGCAAACTGATCTGTAAAACCTCCGACATTGGACATTCTAATATCAGGCAGAAGACGTTACGACACGGGTATCCCGGTTAAATACCGTAGGTGCCCGGCTTTGCAGGGGTGCCCGGTTATCCGTAAAAGGAATTCTTGTTTCGAGAATTTAAATTTTGAAGTCGAGTTTATAATTTTGGTAGTACTTCGCAGTAATGGTGAATTGGCATTTTCTGTTCGACTCAATGACTTTTGAAATACTTTTTATATAATACTTGCAAATGTTTGTTAGTAATCCGTGTTCAATTAGGTTAGAATAAATATGAAAATGATTGATCAGTCTCTGCTCAAGCAGAATTATTATAATTCAATAAACTTATATCAGTTCTTTTAAGTAAATATATTTCGAATATTTGGAGTTAGTTTTTATTTTTATTGACAGAGAGAGACACCTGCTAACAAAAGAATCAGAGGGGAATCTAGAGGGGGCTATGGGATTCGGTTACCTAACTCACTCGGTGAAAAGTGCGATCAAATCATTTTACTAGCGGGAAGACAGTAACGGAAGCATCCCAATCAAAAGAAAAGAAATGAACTGGATGAAATAAAAGAAATAAGACACTTGTGTCACATAGAAATAAATCAATCACCAAGACTAAGGTATCAATAAGAACTAATCTTCTGTCAGTAACCTCTACAGATTAAATACAAATCAAATACACAGTTCAATCACAATCTCAAGAGAACAATTGCGATCTATAACCAAGAAGCAACATAAATAGTATCAACAGATCCTTTCTATAATAATCTTTAATATGAAAGAAAAACAAAAACTCGATGAAACAGAGACGGAAGTCTTGATGAAAGCAGTAAAGATGATTTTGAACCTAAGGAAAGAAAGAGCTGAGATAATCAATAGAAGAAAGATGCACCACGTTAAACTAATTGAAAGGTCTTCAAAATGCACAAAGGACCTTAATCCACTAGCAACAGCAATGTGTCTTTTGAACAAGAAATACCCTATAGTGGTAGATGAGCAAAAAGCAATGAAATATGGAATGCCAACTGATATATTCCCTCCAAAGACAAGTAACACACGCAGAGACAGCCATAGAGATGGGAAAATATTAGCAAAACTGTCCTCCATCGATTGGTGGATAAGCCATAGCCCTGTACCAAACAATGAGGCAATAAAAGTAATAGAACTATTACTGAGACAACAAATAGAAGAAGTAAAAGCATACTACTCAGTTAGATGGGCCAGAACAACCATAAAATGGGGTCCTCCTGTCATTCAACACCAAATTGTTAGGACAAAGAACCCTATCATAGATATACCACCACACTTAAGAACACTGCTCTTAAAGAGATTCTATTTCCTGATATAACAATCCCAGACTCCAGAATAGGAACACAAGACATCGAGGGCCTGAGGGAGATGTTAAATATAGGGATGGAAGAGAAAATGAGTCTTGTTAGACAAATCAGAGTCATTTTAAATGCCATGATGATGACACAAAGGATAGAAATCTTCCCATATTACCAAACTCTAGCGGAGGTCTAGTCCCTATAAAGCACGCCATGCTTCACAATAACTTTGTTATGAGCAATATTTCAGTAGGTGACATGGAAAGAAACATTTCATGGGAGCCATTACTAGAAAACTTCATAAGATGTTTATATGTAGAAGCTAAGCTTTCAAACATTAGTATCCAAGACCTACAAGACATATGTCATAATACCACTATAATGGGAAAGAGGGTGGTAGATTTATTGGACTTAATAAGCAGTAAAAACTCTCTAGAGTATGTATGTTTAAAGGCATTATTTGAAAGGGGGTCCACACTTGAATGTAAAAGAGAAGGATTGATGACATGTCCTATGCCTTCTGACTGCAGAGACACCATGATAGGAAATGTAGTGGGATGTGACACGCATATTCTTTCAGGGAACCAGATGGTAAGCTTCAAATATGGTGACATTAAAGGAAAGTTTACACATAATGGGCCATGGTTGATAGAAATAACATGCAATTTTACAGATGGTAAGGAGTTTCTATCAATGTTAATGGGTGTTGGGAGCTACATAAAATATAGGTATACTGACACAACATCTAGATACTACAATAGAAATATAATTCAGATAAAGACATTTATAAACAATGAGCCATACAGAATCTTAGGAATGACACCTAAACAATATGCAAATATACCAAGAATGAAAAATGGTGAAGTAGTTAAAGCATTTTGTTTGAATGGAGAAACAGAATATATGACAACAGGTGTTTACAAAATGCAACTTAGGGAGTGATCATGAAATTGTAGTGGTGTCAACAGGACAAGTCCAACTTCTGTAAGTTGGATTTACAAGGAAAGACACACACTCCCTGCCAGAAGAAGTATTTTGCAATTCCCATTACATGGTCCAATCTCAAGGGATAAAAAAGACCATAAAACATTCATTTGCATATCTATTCCGTAACGCTAGTGCTGTAATTGAGAAAATCCAAGAAGGAGATTTTAAATGGAAAAACTCACATTTGAATAAGTTAATAAAAGAGCAGGGAAGGTCTGTGTCAAGATTATGTAGAGTTATATTGTCCAATATAATAAATCATATGCTACTAAACACACCTTCTATTTGCTTTCTATACCTTTTTTCACATAGAGACCCAAAGCAAGTCGAAATGGCACCCATGAAGTTTTTGATTCCTGGAGGATATGAAGTAAATCTTGAAGGAACTTCTGGAATATGGACTTATGATGAGAGATTAAAGAATTATAGGTTATATGGCATGAGGGTTGATAAAGAGATAAGTAGATTGGATAGAGGAACCATGGCTACAGGGATATTGGCTTGTTATAGGCTGACTCAACCTGAAAGCACCGAAATAAAGATGTCTACAGCAAGAGAGTTAGAAGGGAAATGTAATGAAATACCTAAAGGTGCACAGTACAATATATACTTGAATGGTCTGCTATACACTGCTACCAAAGACTCTTCCATAGGATATCATGGGGATGCCACCATTACAAGGCAATTGGAGGAACTAATGAAGAGATATAAGACGCAAGGTCAGATATTGAGGTATGGCAAAAGGTGACTCTGATGAACAAATTCCGGGTACGTCTACAAAAAGGGCAAAAAGGGATGACGAGGATGATGATTTCTCTACTGGGCCAGAAGAAAGTGTCTTGGTCGGATTAGATGATGATGATGATCCCTGCTTCGATATCTTAATGTTAGATGATAACTGATTTTAAAATTGGGTTTACAAATTGAGTTTTTTTTTAAAACAAATCTATCATAGCTTTGAAATTGAATTCGAGTAACAATAAATCTTAGATCGCATCCCTAAGAAGCTGCGTCCAAACCTAGGGTGGGAAAATTGAACTGTTGTTTTCCAAATGTATTAGTACATTTATTCGCGCAGAATGCAACCCGCCTCGATACCGTACGATAATATTTTAACTTTATCTCGAATACTGTAACGAGAATTCTCCTCATGTTACAGAGTAGAAACGTTTTAGATCCAGTAGAACCACGTGGATTTTAATTTTTAGGTAAGATTTTTAAACCTCTGTTTTTGTGACATCTGAAAGTGATGAATTGTTTTATGTTCTAGAAGTGATAACTAGATGTAGTCAATCGTACTGAATTATTAAGAAACAACCCGAAACACAATTTTATAAAAGCCTATCATAGCCTTGAAGAGCCATAGCAAAATGACATGAATAGTTAGCTACACATAATGTAAATGATTCGACGGAAGCTACAAGAATTATGTTTTCATTAAGTTTGTTTAATCTTTTAATACTTTATGCACTACTAAGATTGAAAAAGAGTACATTTGCAACATAAGAGATAGTATTTACAATCTGAAAACCCTTGAAAATATCTTTGAATCAACTCTATTATTTAAAGTTTCACTTACAAATATTTTAACAAATAATATGTCAATCATAGATTTACACTTATAACATAATAAAGCAAAGCGCGATTAGAAAGCAATTTCCCCAAATATGTTGCAATTAAAAGAAGAATCAAAAAGCAGTAAACGCTTAACCAACTGCAATGTTTCTGCTCTGCGCTAACACAAAAGACGATGCAAAAGCGACAAGGCATGTTTATATCCGAGGGAAGCGCAAAAAGTGCAACGCTCCGGCTGCCTTTTTAACATAATAATAGATTTGGGCTTGGTGCAATTTATTTCTAACTAGCCCGGCTTGCCGACTTGCGAACATCCGGTGTGTATGTAATGAATTTTTGGAGACTATTGATTTAGAGTTTTGTTTTTTATAAAAACTTAATGCGTATTTTTATTCTTTCGATTTCCCAAAACTTTTGTATATATTGTTTGTTTTACATACACAACATAAACACAATATGTTTTAGTATACATATTTTAATTGCTCAATTACAGACTGTAGGCGTTGACCGGTCAAATCATTTAGTTTTGAATTTGTGCAACCCATTTCTACATTTTATTTATTGATTTTAAAAGATATTTAATTTATAAATTAAAATTATCAGCTCTTACAGCAAGAGCTGATAATTATCAGCAAATGATTGTATATAAAATGTTAAGTGGACGAACACTTCCTAAGTGTAGCCGATATTATTCTGTGACTTACATGAAAAAGACAGAAGACTTTTGACAAAACACGACAAATAATTAAAGTTATTGTATAATTTTAAGAAAATGACACGTCTTTAAATGTATATATGTATATATTATTAAAGCAGTACTTTTATTTATAAGGAAACATCAGATTTCCATCAAGTGTAAAAACAAACACTAGCAAAATAAATGGAAGTCTTTCGACCTATTACGGCGACGGCCAAAATCTCCTTTCTAAGGAGAGGCCTACGTGAAAAAATGGACTATTAACGACAGATGAACGATTCACAATGTTATTCATAAACTTTCACACTATCGCAGGAGCAGAACCTGATTTTGTTAAAAATGTATCTAAGAATAAAGCAATTCCTTAAATACAACGACGATATTTTGAAACACACAGTAAAAAAAATATAAATGACCACTGAAGTAAATTAATAAGAAAACAACACTTATTTGAATTTCAACACCAAAGAACTAACATAATATTAAGTATAAACATTTTATACTAATATTTAATAGTATTCAATAAAAAAATCTGACACCAGCTGACATTTTTCAGCTTAATATTTTTTTTTTCAAGAAAAGAAAAGAAAAACGTATCAATATGTTGCTTGACGATGTCAAATTTATTAAAAACTTTTTGGAAACTCTACCAGAAATGAGAATTTTATCAGAAGAAGATTTTTTGAACTGACACTTTTACGAGTAATTATTTTATATTAAATATAAATGAACCAGTATATTTTAACTTTGTCTTTGAGATAATCTATGGTCTACAGAATACTGTGGTTTCTAGAGTTGTTTTTATTTTTTTTTGTACTAAGGATCACTAAAACAAAAACCGATAAATCAACATACAAAATATTTGTAGATATTGATTGATTCCAATCAGATAGATCTAGTACTCGTTTAAAACCTACATACGTAACTATATTCATATTTACACGAAGGAATAGACACAGTAGCAAATAGTCTCATATTACGATCTGTAATTTGGTTCGACTTACGGAACAAGGGCAAGTCAATTGCCTTGAACTGAATACTCTGAGACTTAAAGAAAAGGAAACTGGGACTACACTGAAAAGGTTGGTAAGAAAGAAAAATGGCAATAGTATCTATTGTTATTGCTAATAGCGTGTAGCATTTGTCTGGCAGATTAGGATGGCGGGCCTCCAAATAGAGCTGGCTGTTGCCGACATTTGAATACTGTAAAAAATTTAAGAAATGATTTAGTTAATGTTGTGAGACAGTACAGTATCTATACATTTTAAATAATATTATACATCATTGAAATAAAATAATAGTGAGCAGAAATAGTCTGTCTCTTTCTAACATTACAAAATATATAATAAAAAGTGAGAACAAAGATTTTAACATTAATATGTACGTATAATACTTAATTTTTAAGTACTAGTATAATCTTCTTTATAACTTTAAAGCATACAATTAAAGATATAATTGTAATATATCTACAATATTATATACAGACTGTTCTCGCAGTACCAAGTCAGTATTATTATTAAACCGAAAACCGAGCTACAAGGAAACCCACTTCAATTCTCTTGAATACCTCCCCGGTACAGTACAAGGTAGTTCCATTACAAACTCAAATCTTGTTGAGCCTTACGCAACGTGGAATGTGTAAAAAATAATGAGGATACCTCATTCCTTAACAAAATCAACGCGCAAAGCATTTTACCATGATTTAGACAAAGTATTAAACTTATTACTTCAAGAGTTTGTAATTCAGCAGCAGACTCAAATCGAACCATTTTGAAACTTAAAATTAACAAGTTAAGGTTGATTTAGACGGAATAAAGGATTGTGTCATCTTAGTTTTAAGGTCCTGTGTTTCAAGAAAAAGGTTGTCAATCCTTATGAGGTATACGGATTGACTAATAAAGACGTAAGTAGGTTGCAACTTAATTTAGAAAAACCAACTTTTTGATCTCTTAAATAGGTGTTTGTTTAAAAAAGCTAGCGAATGAGAATGAAATTTTTCGCTGAGGTTCTGTACTTCTATTTTAATAGCATTTAATTATTTTCAAATATAGTTTTAATTGTAGTTCTTTACTACCCACACTTAACAGCCTGTACAGGACCACATACAGGGTGTAACAGAAAAGTGGGGTGGGGTTTATTTTAGAGAAAAAATAGTTTCAGAAAAATATTGTTTAAAAATATTTTCTTTTCGGTCAATCTTTTCGTAGGCTTATATTCGTAATAAAGATTTCAATTACAAAGTTAAAAGATTATTAGGGTTCATCCATAAATCACGTCAGACGAATTTCATGATTTTTAAACCCCGCCTTGTTACTGCTGGGTCACATTTGTAAGACTCTAACCTCCCTAGTGTCACGTCACATATTTTGCAATTTTACAACTAGAAACTACTAAGTTAAAACAGCAGATTCCAAATGTTTTGAAGTTTAATAGTTGTAATAAATTTATATACTCTAATCTATATATTTATACAATACAAATTGTCACCACCGAAATTCATCCCGTGGGTCCCTTAACAGCCGACTAAGGGAGCAAACTAAGCAGGACAACAGCACTGCAGAGAGAAGGAAAACTTGAAATAAACCCTATACCAACCCGTCTGGCCAGCGTGGTATAGTAGGCCAAAACCTCCTTTCTAAGGAGAGGCCTATGTCCAGCAGTGGACTAGAATAGGCTGTTGATGTGAATCTATATAGTCCATTAGTATCATGAGTAACTAATGTTTTTTGATTCCCCTTGAAATAACAGTCTACCTTCAACAATCAGTTGAAATAACACTTGTACTGTGAGCGTGTTTCAATAAGCGTGCATAGATAGGAAATTCTACCCCTAATATTGACCTAAGCTAAGTGCTCGTGTTTGGAGTAGGTACATTGATAGGTTACAGAATACTGAATACTGATACATTATACTACAGAACAATAACTGTTCCTGTAATAGATTTGCAAAGTCAAGTTGTATCGGTGGCGAAAATTAATTCATATGAGTTTCTATTGCAAGATTGTACAATGTACGCTATAACACACGGTCTTCCTACTTACATGGCAATTTCAGCATGTTTATGCTTTTTTTTTACGGTATACATTATCGTAAATTATGAACTTACTTAAAAGGCTTTCGGTATCATCATCATCATCATCATGATGAGCCTATCGCAGTCCACTGCTGGATATAGGCCTCTCCCATTGCACGCACCTTAGATCAATTTTGGGCTTCTCGCATCCAGCTCCTGCCAGCCATCTTGCTCAAATCGTCACTCTACCTGGTCTGTGGGCGTCCTACACTACGTTTGCCGAGACGCGGTCTCCACTCAAGAACTCGTTTTCCCAACGGTTGTCGGTTCTGTTGCTAATATGGCCAGCCCGCTGCCAATTTTGCACTGCACGGATGGCGTAGTGGTTTAAGCGGTCGCCACGCCGCTTCCTACTACGCCGAGTGTTGTGGGTGCAAACCCCACATGGGACGACACTTTGTGT